GATCCTATGCTTGTGACACCCGTTTCACTTCTTGGCAAATGAATTAAGATGCCCCCCCCCCCGCCTCCCAATCCCGCCTACCCAAAATAAAACAACAACAAAAATTCCACCCCACTTCATAGTTGAGTAGATTTCAAGGAATCTGTTTGAGGATTTTGTGAGCTGGGAGAAAAACGACTACCAAGCCTTGCTCAGTGAAGAAGTTTTTCAGGGTCATTGTGTAACGGCCATCATTAACCGACATTCGCGAATGTTAAATTTTCAGCATAAAAAACAAAACAAACAAAACGCATGAACGAAAACCTTTTTTTTTTTTTTTTGCTGCTGTAGCTAAGATTTCTGAGACAGGCTTGAAAACTTCATAACTACATAAATTTGCTGCCTTTAGATGTAGACAATTTGATCTATTTTTCTATCTCTGTGTGTGTGTGTGTGTGTGTGGTGTGGGTATGTGGAGCGCGGGCGTTGTTTGTTTCTGGTTATTGGGAATGTTGCCCACGATGTATATATATGTATATATATATATATATATATATATATATATATATATATATATATACAGAGTGTCTTCCATGCATCTAGTCGTCGTCCACCCCCCGCCCCCCTCCCGTCGAAGAAAGTTTACCCCCCTCCCGAGCAAAATGGAATTTATATAGAAAATATCTACTTTACGAGTGTCCGCCCCGCCACCCTCCCGGAAAATTGACTCGGTCCCCTGAAAATTCCATGTGCCCCCCACACCCCTCGGAGAAAAAAAGTCTGAAATAATTTTGTATGTATGGGTGTTTACTTCACATAAACAATTTTATGCCATGCTAAATTTGTTATTGTTGATGTTGTTTTGGAATTCCAGTTATTGTTCTGGTGATGACAGCATTATGTGTGGAGGCTCAACGTTTCTTTGGGTCTACTGCGAAGGTCGACACAACCCAAGCCAACCCAACTGACCAAAATGGAACAACCACGGCAGGACATATGATGGGCAGACACCATATGAATATGATGGGCATGAATGGAACACGGAATGGACATATGATGGGCAGACACCATATGCATATGATGGGCATGAATGGAACACGTAATGGACGACACATGATGGGCAGACACCATATGAATATGATGGGCATGAATGGAACACACCATGGACATATGATGGGCAGACACCATATGCATATGATGGATATGAATGGAACACACCATGGACATATGATGGGCAGACACCATATGCATATGATGGATATGAATGGAACACTGAATGACACATTAATGGGAAACGGTTCACAAATGAATATGTCATGTTGTGGAGGCATGATGGGTAGGCGGGGCATGCGCAGACGTATGAATGGAAATTTCTCAAGAATGGTTTCACGTCAAGGAATGGGCTTCGGAAATGGAAGGGGGAATGGGATGGGTCATGTAATGGGTAATGGAAGAGGACATGGGATGGGAAATGGGGGAGGACACATGATGGGACATGGAATGGGCCCAGGCATGGGAGGTGGAATGGGAAATGGGGGACACATGATGGGACATGGAATGGGACATGGGGGAGGACGCATGATGGGGCATGGAATGGGTCATAGGAGAGGGCATATGATGGGGCGTGGAATGGGACATGGGGGAGGACACATGATGGGGCGTGGTATGGGAAACGGGATGGGCGCGGGGGTGACGCCTTCAAACCCTGAGGGCGCGGAAATGAGCCCTTTACAAGTAACCACCCAGACGGAGGAGGCTAGCGTGACAGGGTCCGAGATGGACTACCCCGACATGGAGAGGATGGTGAACCCCAACCAAAATGGCTACGACATGGGCGGCTATGACATGGGCGACCCATACATGGGCGGATACTACGCTCATCCGAGTCAGGTTAGACCCGTGTATAGACCACAATATGGTCGGAGGCGAGGGCACCACGGTATGGGAAATAATGGGATGGGCGGAGGTCAGCCGAGATACAGACCTAGAGTACGAAACATGGGCTACGGTAGAGGCCGCAACGGGGATTATTATTCTAACAATAAGTAACGAATTGATAAGTCCTCCCCGCACCCCACCTTGGCTCACTAAAAACAACGCAGTTGTATTGAGGTCAAGGTTGAAACTACGGCGGTGACGCTGTGGAATGAAAACATAGTCCAGTTACAACAACGAAACTATTCCAATTAGAACATTTTTATTTCGCTATTTTGCCTGTTATTTTATACTTACATAAAAAACACGTTGAAAATAATAAATTTGTATGTTTTTTAAAAAGTTTCTCCCATTAATATTCAAGCTTAACACACCTTGTTGCTTAAAAACAATACACATTTAACTGGATTTCCCCCCCCCCCCCCCTTTCATTAAAAGTATTGGCGAACAATGCGCCCCCCACAGAGAATGTAGTATCCCACACTGCTTTTATGTATTGTAATAATTTTGTGTTTGTTTTTACATAGTCCCTCATGGGACCAACCACTTGTACTTAACGCACAAAAATTTTACTTATTAGCCAGAAACTGTATTATATATTAAACTTATGTATTGCATGCTTATTTTTGTGTAGCTTGAGTGTTTAAAATATAGCGACATTAAATTATATTCATACCACTGTCATACTGTTCGTTATTTTTGGTTGTTTCAAATTAAACTACGATATTCCTCTCATTAAAATGACAGGCTAACTATCATTTAAAGGGAGAGAATAAAAGGGAACTAACTCGTAATAATATTCTATTCTCATAAGGTTTACTTTCAAGTAAAGCTAGAATTTAGAATCCAGGTTCAGCAGCAAATTTTTAATAAAAACCTGAGGAATAACAGTGAAAATTACTTAAAAATAAAAGTTTACAAAAACTCTTTTAAAATGCCAAAATATCACCATTTTTTAATATGAAAATGCTTCAATGGTTAAAATTACATGCACATTTTGACTTGGTTCTAGTGTTGCAAGGGTGATGCAGACTGAGACAATGCAGCTTCACACTGAGACATGGAAAAAAAAAAAAAGTTTACAACCTCCAGACACAGAAGCCACTCCCACGCACTGTGTACTGTCTGATCCTCCAACAAAGCAGACACTCAGACTAGTATGAAACTGGTGTCTCATAGTTGTATTTATTTACAACGAAAATTTAAGTCCTCACCATCTCATGATATGAAACTTCCCTTCATGATGGCATTTGACAGATGACAAGAAACTAAAATAAAATTGACTACCACGCAGCTAGACTACAAAAGCTAAAACAAAAATATTTTTTAGACAAATCAAAACCTAGATTTTGTTATGGCTCAGTTTAAAAAACAAGTAAAAGGCCTTCTATTCCTTCATTTCCCTGTGACAAGAATTTGTTTTTCTTGAATATAAAACCACACAAAAGTAAAAACAAAAGTAGTATCAGCCACTGTTTCAATTTATACAATCTATATAATAATTATTTACAATACTTCATACAAGAAATTTTTAAAAAGTTATGCATCGTGATAGTGTAACTATTAATAAATAAACTTATAAAATAAAAATAAACAACCAAAAAGTTAAGTTTACTTGGACAATAGATTTTACCAATTATTATTCTAATGTAGAGAGAACTTTAGTTACAAAATTTGTATTTCTCATGGAGAGAGAACTTTAGTTACAAAATTTGTAGGTCACAACCAAAACTAACTTCAGCAGCAGGAAACTAAGCATTTTTCTCTACACTATCTTCAACAAGAACCTCTCATCAGAAACAGGTAGTTTCAGGACAACATATTCAGGTCTTAAAATTTTAATAGAAAATTAAAAACTTGCAACAAATTTTCTCAATACATTGGACAATGTTTTGAAAATAGTTAAACTTTATTTCATATCCATGGTCACTAAATCAGTGCAATATACACAATACATGTTTCTATGATCTAGAAGATTTTAAAATAAACACCATGAACTCATAAACAATTTTCTAAAAAGTAACAGAATTTTCAAGTTCCTTATTTGGGCTTGTGCTAATCTCAGTAGACAAACACTAAGATGCAATAATGCGTTTTTCTAGCTCCTCAATGGGTTAATTTTCTTTCTAAATACCTGTGATTACCTTAATAACATAACCTAACATCTAGCTATATATCTGCATATAGTAAAAAAAAATAACAACAACAGATGCTCAAAAATAAAATATCCATTTAACTTTTTTTTACTAAAATTCAAAACATTACTGTAATATAATTACAGGTAAACTATATATATATCATCTAACTATATATCGTTCTTCATAAAAACAAAAATTTTCTAAGTAATATTTAATATTAACGTTTGAAACATCAGCGTTAAAATACAGTAAGTAGATATTTAAATTAACTTAGCATTGGTGAGCATAGAAAACAAAATTGACTTAAGGACAAGAATGAATCATGAACAATATTTACCATGATCTATTTACAAACTCTACAGGCCCAAGATTTTTCCAGACAGCTTGTGTCATAGATCAGTCCCATGGAAAAGTTTGCTCTAGGAACCCGTAGTTTTGTACACTCCTATCATTTTCCACATAAGCAGCAGCCAATTCTTAAGGAAAAATTTGAAAAAAATATGCGTAGCCGAACAACTACACAAATTATCAGTACAGTAATTACCATGCATAAAGTGATGGACTTAGCTTTTGGCAAATAAAATACACTGGTTACTTTTCTATTGAGATTAAAACATTTTTTCTTCAGATTTTCAAACCTTAACATTTAAGCTAGAGCTCATAAAAACTCGCATGTGACAGTATAGTTGCTATGTAACATCAATAGACAGCAACTTCATTTAAAATAAAAATTATTTAATTGATAAAAGATAATTGTTTTTTCAAACTTTATTTCAACAACAAAAAAAACAAACCATATGATATTATTTCAGAATTATTCACAGCAGAAACACAAACAGGTGTTTTCTTTGCAATCACAGCTGTCTGTATTAAAGATGTGGCAGTTACTTTTTTAATCATGTGGGCGTGTCATCAAAAGTTTTTAATGTTGCAAATAAAAGTTCATTTTATTAATGTAAGTAATAAAAGAAAACCAAACTAAAAAGAAAACAACAAAAACTATGTCATGCGGATTGCTGCAAGGATCCATGACATCTTATGTACATCATCAACTAATGTTTAAACAATTTAATGTAAGAAAGATGGAGTTATAATGAAGAAAAAATATAACCATTGTCGTAGAAATGGAAACATTTTCTTTGCCTACAATGAATGGGGATGAAAGTTTCCAAGCACATTATTCATTATTATGAAGTTGATGGAAAAATGTGTTCAAACAGCGTTCCCCCAACCAATGATCAAATTAAAACAGTCTTAATTCAAACATCAAAGTAAAGAAACCCTATACAATTTGTACAAAGTCACTTGTCTGTAGTCTGATACACACTCATATGCCTAGCAGACACACTCAGTTAAAATCCAGGGATATAAAGTAAAAAGAAAAAAGTAACATTTTTTTGTCAAACAACTCTATGCTGAAACACACATTGAAGCCTTTTCATTTGGTTGCCATCAAGATCGTAGCTTGATTACGTTTGGTGAAAAATCTGAAATTATAAATAAAAATTACAGGTAACCAAACATAAAAAAGTATATATTTTAAATGCTATAAAATCTATAGATTTAAGCAGGATGACCTGTTACCAACTTCAACATTTTTTAAACAGTGCCCATAGTAAAATTGTATTCAGAAAAAGACAAATCCTTGTTTTTAAAAAACTTTTTGTGGTAATTTCATCAATATATCATGGATTATGTTATATTACAATACTAAACTGATTTTAACAAAACGGTCTTAGTGTTTGTTGTACACTTGCAATTATTTGTTTATTTGTCCAAAATGCTGGCTATATCAGAGCATAAGTCATTACACTTTTAATATAGTATAAAATTATGTGTTTCAACAAAGTATTGTACCTTAAATGGAACATTAAATCATCCGTTGTACTAAACTATTTTCTATCATTAAAAGAATAAGAAAAAACCACAACAAAAACTTGAAAAGGACAACTGCCAATTAAGACTCTTCTTCCATTATGTGTATAATAGAGCAAACCTAGAAGACTACAACTTTAGTCAGCTACTTTCTAGTTTAATGATTTTTAATCATGACTGAACATGGTATCAAATAAAAAGGGGGAAAGTAGTATTTAATGATTAGTCTTTCTAAACTATAATGAAGTTTAAGAAACCATATGACAACCTGTCTCCAAATCTATCCAAAAAAGTATATAGATAGACCAACAAAAATGAGCTAATAGGTTTTTATGGGTTTTCAGTTCAAGACATATATTTTTTAAAAAATAACATCCATCATGTTTTATGTAAACAAAAATGAATTTTAATCCCTAACTAAAAGCATACTAAATCTACAAAAAATAAGTAATCAATGAAGAAGTAATGACCTACCTCACAGGGAACACAAGATAGAAGTAGAAGTCAAACTAAATTTGTTAATGTGCACTGCTTTCGCTGGTGTTTCGAGAACGATCTTTTGGAGGAACAACATCATCATCTGGTCGAAACTCACGTGGACGGCCTTTGCCGAAAATGCTCTCATTTCTAGCAGTATCTACAGGCAAATTAGGAGGGTCTTTGACAGTACGTGGCTTTAAGTTCAACTTTGGTCTCTGAGCTAAGGAATCTGTAAAACACAAAAGGATGTATAGGGAATGTATGGTGAAATTCATCTCAATAATTGTTGTGGTAGTGTTTAAAAAAATATGTAATGTCCTGTTTAGTAATTCAAGGCATACAAAATAAACTCTCCAATACTGTTATTTCTTTGAGGAGAGCAAAGTTTAAACCTTTGTTGTACAGGACATGTATGTGTGGTCATAAAATTTTAATCCTTTAAGTAGATGAAGATGATGTCAAGTCATAAGGTATGTGAGTAAGGTATCACTAACTAAAACATGTAAATGATAAAAATATTATGCAGAAGATTGTAAAATACTTCAGTTTGGAATCAAATTAATTGTGTGAAGTTTGTGTTCACTTATTAAGACAGATTGGGTTCATAAGTGGGTACCATTGACCTTTTCCTATACAGTCTAGCCATAAATACTAATTGGATGAACTGAAGTAACCTCAAAAGTTTTTGGCTACTGTAAAAATAAAAATCACAAATGCCTAAAAGCTAACTTTGAGGCTTTAAATATTCAACTACTTGCAGAGAACTAAAATTACATTGGTATTAAAAAAAAATGTATTTAAAATTTTAAATAACATTTAATGACATAAGTTCAAATAAAGGGAGCATACATTGATTCAAGAAATTAACGTTTAAAATTACAGCCCCAAGTGCATAATTTTCCTATTTTCAATTCTATTGTCCCCCAAACAGGGGAGCTAAATCAAGCGTTTGACCTTCCACTACAGAATGTTTATTCAAAATAAGACATGTCAATGTGATTAACCTTTTAATTACAACTACTCAGATAATTTTGGTGCCTATTTGAATTAGTTGACAAAATAGCTTCAGCCTACATGAGTTGCTTTCTAGTAAATCAGAATTAGGGTATGGCATGATCTAGCAGTAGACCGCTCAATTCCTAACAGAAAAGTCATGAGACTGTGCTTGATACTTAACCCTGTTCAAGCCTGTCTGGTTTATGAGCAATAGCTTGAGCCGGTAATGTAAGTTTAAGAGAGTGTTAAATCAGCTAACCAGAATTTATAGGTATTGTAGCATTTTTGTAAAAAAAAAAAAACTAAAAAAATCTAGAAGAGTTAAAAGAGCATCTATATATATAATTCTCTTCTGGGAGACGCTAGAAAACGAGCTGCAAACGCTCTCCCTACCATCCCCACCACTACATGGTTTGGTGAGCTGTTGTTCACTCTAAATGTTTACAAACAGATCTGGGTTTAGTGACGACTATTATGGGCAGATAATTTAGTTTGAAATGATTTTAAACTTAGGGGGGGGGGGTAACTAAGTGGAGTTTACTTTAACTGAAGGGTGGGGGGGAAGGAGGGGGGGGGGGGGTATCGTCCTTAACGAGCTACTTATAGTGTTTTAAAGAAATATTTTCAGTGGCAGCGTTGGTAGTGTCGAATTCACAAATTATGAATAACTGAAAAGTAGAAAAAACAACAACTAAATAGCGGCGTATGATATTCCGCGGGTTGGCTCGTGATAGTAATAACTAAATAGTTTTGAATCTAGGTAAAAATATTTGGTACCTAACATCTACTATGTCTGAGATAAAGTTTTTCACTGAAACATTTTTTGTGGTCAATTACTGCTATTAAAACATTAATTTTGTGATTTTTCTAAATCTAATCAATATGAGATTAGTTAACATTGCAAAATAATCTCTGAACAAAAGGGAGCAGATTATAAAATATAATGTGATAGGAACGCAGAGCATATAGCTCAGAGCTGTAAGGGTTGGGTAACAGTGGAATAGCTGCATTGGATAAAATAAACAGCAAACATAACCAGTGTAATTAAGTGATCATATACTGGTAATGTTTGGCTCTAACAGAACTAACCTGGGGATGCTTCTCTAAATTCTGCACCACTGCCACTATCCTGCCGTCTTCTAGTGCCAAAATCTCTATCTGTGCTTCCTCTGTTTCCCCCATAGCCACGATCATAGCTTGCACCTCTATCACTGTAATTTCCATAACCACTACCTCCTCGGCCACCTCTGAAGCCCCCTCGGTCGCCACCTCTGTCAGTGCCTCCCCGTGGAGAACCGTAACCTCTTGAATCACCATCTTTACCCTGCCAGGAACCTCCTCTGCCACCACCTCGACCTGCAGGTAATGAAAAAAGTTTTATAATAAACCTTGCTTTAATGCTATTTACCAGTAGGTGACTTACAAAGCAAAATACATGTCCTAAAATTTCAATAATTTTATTTAAAATACTTTTTTATGGTGATGTTTTTTAAGCTAGAGTAGAAAAAAAAGATTAAACTTATGTATATTTAAATGACTAACAGCAAAGAAATCGTAAATACATACCTCCGCGGTCACCACCACGCCCCCTATTAAACCCTTGATTCCGATCTTTTTGTCTCCCAGCTGCAATATCGACTCTTATGTTTTTGTCTTCAAATAACTGTAAAAAAAATATGGATCTTTATTAAAAGTCACCTCTCAAATTGTTACCATAAACACGATTACTTTTTTTAAACTGTAAATTTCTGTAAGCTATTATAAAAATGACATTAAAATAAATATAACGGCCAACAGCATAATAAAAAGAAAACTTACAGCACCATCATAGGTTAGGGCTTCTGTTAGTGATTCAACATCATCAAATTCTACATAGCAAAAACCTGGAGAATAAAGACAAGAACTTGTTTAGAAAATAATTCAAGTACTAACCATTCAGGGTGAAAATATAAATATCAGTCTAGCTTAACATTCAGAGCAAGTTAAAATATATATTTCAATTTAAAAGCATGAAGGGTCTGTGTATTTTTACTATGACAACTACACTAATTTTCATCGGGTACCTATCAAACCTGGATGCCCTAAACAAAATTTAATATTCATTAAATTTATAATTAAATGCAATGAACATTTTCTTATTTTATGCCAAGAAACAATGCATCTCATTAAAAAAAGTAACATTTTAAAAGCTAATTCTTCGTAAAGAACCTTTAATATTTTTGAAAAAAAAAAAAGACTAACCTTTAAATTTATCTGTTTCACGGTCTCTTACAAGACGAACGCTTTTGACCTAAAAAAAAATCAAGCATGTGATTTTTACACGCCACAGAAGCAAACCAAAAATTTAAGAATTATTTTACAATAGCCACAAGAGAAACCCTGAAATATTTTAACTAAAATTTTAAAGCATGTAACATGATCCTAAGTTTTAGGCACATAAATTATTTCAGCAATTTCTGGGTACATTTTTAACTCAAAAAATAAAAATTAAGCATTTTACTTACACTTAGATCTTTAAATATATTTTCAATGTCACTCTGAACTAGTCCTTGAGGTAAGTTGCCAATAAATATTGTAAAAGGGGGTTCTGTGGGGATTTGTGGACTGCCGCCTCCTCTGCCAGAACTTCGACCTCCACCATAACCTCGGTCTTGACCTCCATAGTTACCTCCTCTGCGATCATACCCACGATCATTGCCATAACTTCCTCTGTCATTGCCATAACTTCCCCTGTCGCCACCGTAGCTGCCCCTGTCATTGTAGGCACCCCTGTCATCATCATCCCTGAGGAATATTTATCAAGTTAGTTATGCAATCTTTTCTGTAACTTTGAAGGATAGGTAATAGTGAGGTACTTTTATGATGGGGGAGTAGACCTTTTACCAGTGTCCAACACTGGGCTTTGGTTAATTTAAGGTTAGTGTTGACATAATTAAGATTAATTAGAGCATTTGAAATTTTGTTTACTTTCTGTAACAATGGCACTGCTTTTTAAAGAAGATTCCATTATGTCTTTATGTGTTACTGGTATGAAAAACACACTCTAGTTGGAAATGAGGACATGCAAAGTGGAGGTAATGTATTGGATCTTGTCCTGATAAGCCCTTCCAAAGAGTTAACTCAACCACCCACAAAATAAAATAAAAAAAGATATTGAATGCCCAACATTGGGCTTTGGTTAGGGTTAGTGTTGACATAAGATTAATTAGAGCATTTATAATTTTATTGAAGAGGGTGAAATTGGGATATGTTATTAATAAATTTCATGAAAAGGTCTGTATTTTGGTACTTTGAACCTAACTCTAACCATAGAGGTGGATAAGAAGTTGTTTTTATAGCGTGCATTTAAATATTCAAATGTCTAGACAGAATTAGTTTACAGGTGCGGGGATTAACTTTTGGCCTGTCCACTGATTGCATTAGTGGCAGGGTTTATCTAAACAAGATCCAATTCATCTCTATGGCCACTGCATATAAAAAGCTTAACAAGGGATGGTGTTGCTTGTTGATATCTAAACCTAGATCTATATGTTTGATAGGTTACGTACTAATAAGTATGATTTTATTCTAGATTAGACTTAACCCTAATCACAATTGATTCCATACTTCCAACTGTTCTAGACTACTAATAACTAAAGAAGAAGTGGGGAGTAGGCTGCAAAATTATTAAAACTAGGCATGTAGGCCTAAATATAAATTTTAAAATTTTAGGACAGGTCTATCCCACCCCAACCAACTTAAAATTTTACATTTGTTACTGTTAGTGTGTTAGCCTAATTAATTTTTATTAGGCTACATAAAATTTTGTCATAATCACACTTAAAAACCATTGGGTTTGAAAATGTGCTTACAGAATGCTTCATTAAGTCAGGGTCTACTAGATCTAGATGGTGTGTAAAAAAAACTCAGTACTCATGCTTGTTGATACTGTAGCTTAGCAAGCATTCAATGAGAACATTAAAAAAAAGTTAAAAACTCGCGAGTGGAAGAAATACCGCCAGATGCGATGCAAAAAAATTATCAGATGAGCAAAAATCTCGATCAAAATTTACTTTTAGATAATCAAATGAACAGTAAACAAATATCTTGCATTCTAAAATCTAAAATTAACAACATTTTTTGTGTACCCATTAAAATCGCTCCTAGGGCGATTTCTACTGTATCCGCGATTATCATCGAAGTCAGCCATTTTGAATGGAAAAGACTCTTTTCAGTTTCCGGTCGGACATGCGCCATATAGTAACAGGTATATAAAATAAGAAATACACATTAATTGTCAGTAGTACCCAAATTATGAGGGTCCATTGAATCTCTCTTCTCTCTCCTCCACCCCCCACACAACCTATTTAAAAGACACCCGCTCGATTAATATGTTGCACAAACGCTACTTTTTATAATACAGCATGTATAAAAATTGGAGACTAGATAACTGTGCCCAATGAGGTGATAGAAGTTGAAAGGCCGACAACTTAAAAATAATTAAACAATATAGGCTAAGTATTAACAACCTTTAAAAGAGTGGAACTTTAAATGCACTAAATATAAGAAAATGAAACTAAAGAAAGTTTGTTTTATATTCCTATAAGTTTTTAGTGTATTTAAAAAAATATTATAAAGGTTTTTATATTTGTTTTATCTTCAAATTTTTAGTTTAACAAGAAATAAAAAAAAAATTAAAACAGAAATTTTTAAGGTTTTAAAAACAATTAGATCTTGAATCTTTAGTTGGCCTATCAAATTTATTCTTTCAAGTCCGTCCGTTCTAAATTAAGTGGACACCCCATACGACTAGAAATGTAAAATAGGGGGCCTAGTTTCTTCAAAATCTGATCAGTTGGTTAGGTTACCAAATACTACCATCTTTAACTCTTAACAATAATTATCTGCCCCTAAACGTCCGTTGTTGGCTCTCGTGTGTGAAAATATGTCCGTAAGCCTACACAACCAGAGTTTCTTCCCCCCGAATTTTTTAAAATCGCCCCCACCCCCCGAACGAAATGAAATTTATATAATTTATATAGAATATATATACTTTTAGCAGTGTCCGCCCCCCCGAAGAAGGTCTACCGCCCCCCCCCCCCCCCGAAAATTTCAAGTGCCCCCCCCCCCCCCGAGAAAAATGTCTGAAAGAAACACTGTACACAACTGATCGAGCGAGTCCTTTATCCCGTTACCTCTTTTTTGTTATTGAAAATATAGTGGTTCCTAAATTAACTGTGATGACTAATTCAATATATAATTATTATAAAAATACAATGCTCTTGCGTTTTCATCGGAGATGAATTTTGCTAGAGAGCTAAACAAAATAGCTAAACTAGACATATTTCGGAAATATTTCCAGTTGTCCATTTTCTTATTTGCTCGATCTACTTTAACTCGCTATCGTGTTTTACTTTTAGAGCCAGTCTCAAGATTTTAGAGACTAAATACTAAATAAGCCTTTTGTCATAGATTTAGAATCTATATTGACGTTAATCTATAGCTAGTCTATCTCAGATATTTACAACAACCAACAATCATACCCCCTTATTGTTATTAGCAGTTATAAAGTTTGTCGTCTGCTACAAAACGCGAATAACACTTTTGTATCTCAATGCTAAACTATCTGTGAATGAGAAAGGTACGGATATTTTTCTTTATTAAGTTGAACGTGTAGCACACTTAAGACACCCCTCCTTAACACTAACACCATTTCTGGCACCGTTAAGACATTGATAAAATGCCAGAAAATGTTTGGATCCGTTTTGACATGTATTTTTTCTACCGGTCGGTTGGGGCTCTGTAAGGTGCTTGATGACTTTTAAAATATTAATATTTTCGATTGCTGATAAGTTCAATAAATTTTACTAAACTAAATCCCAAAAATAATGTATTTATATATTTTGTTTACATATTTTTTTTAGTTTGCAACGATTTTTATTAAAAATAAATCAGTGGATTTAGTCAGCAGGACCTCATATTTATCGGAACCTATAGCGATCACGTGACAAAAATACTCCTAAAAGCGCTACCGATGAAAAGCTCGGCTAAGAAAACAAAAACATGGAAAGACAAAACTAAACAAACCAGCCGGAGTCACTTTCGATTTATTTATTTTGTGTAATTAAGCTATACGTTCTTACAAATATGAAAACATACATGTTAAAACTCCGTAAGGCATTTTAATTAGAAATGTGATTGAATTAACCTATCGTTAGCGATATAGATCTAGATCTAGAATCTAGATCTATTTTATTTTCTGTTTGTTACTGAATGATAGAATAAGTATCAGACTATCAGACGTATCAGTGGACTACGGAGGCCAACTACAATCGATGTGCCAGGAATCTTTTTACTTTTATTTGGCCTAATTTTTTAGTTTTATAATTATTTTAAATTATTATGTAGGATTTATAGACCCTAATAATATTTGGCCTAATTTAATCTTACTTTGATGTTAAATTATAGGCCTACATAGTTTAAAAGAATTATTGTATGAAATAATATTTAATTTAATCATAATTTTTTTAATTTTATGTATTATTATGTAATTATGTAGTAGATCTATGTAATTGTAATGCAGGTATGGGTTTGTTGTATGTTGACTAAGGCTAAAAATTGTATAAATTTAATAAAAATTTAATAAGCCAAACTAAGGCCTAATATAAGCAACTTAATTTGTTTTATTAATAGATATCTAGATCTAATCCTATTTTAGAATCTTAAAACTTCTGAATTCTTAAGTAGAAATATATTAACCCTTTATTTACGGAATTATGTTCCGAATGACATTTTTTCTTAAACAATGTGTTATCAGATTGCTTTTGGCACATTTAAAGCATACGTCGAAGGAAATTTTGTTTCATAAATTTTTAAGGGCCCAAACATGTATTGGTACTTATAAGTACCGTCAGGAATGTAGGACATTTTTTCCAAAAATTAAAAAATTTACAAAACAGGAAAAAACGATACAACTTATTAAATAATAACATGACAATCATTATAACAATAATTTTTTTGTAATTTTCACTCATAAACACAGCACAAAAGTATATTTAGAGTACGATTTTTACTGGATTTTCCTTCGGAACACATCTTAGACCTCACTCAAACACAGCAAAAGGTGCCGACATGTCATGCTCCCTCATTCCTCGTTCCTGAGACATTCTTGTCTGTCGTCTTTCTGGTGTGGCAACAGTTGCCGGACTGAACCTACTTTTGCTGGAGGCTTCCAATAGCCATTACAATGAGCCGCATAAACAAATATTTTGAAAACAAAATCCTAGTCATTCAAAACAATACTACTAGTAATACTAGTATAATTGTAGCCTACTAGAATGTTATGACAAGTCTACACTACAGTGTAAAGTTCATAAATAGAAGTAAGCTCAATGTGTTCAGGATAGCCGTAGTGGCCTACTGTTTTGTGTTTACTGATTCAAAATTACAAAATGATCTATACTACATGCAGATGTATGGACTATTACTAGTCTACATGTATACATATATACATTACGTACACGCTAGCTATTGTATGCAAGACAGTTTTTTGCAACAAATATAACTTACAAATCTTACTTCTAGAACTAGACTTTGGTATACAAATAACGAATACTAAACCTAGTAAACGAGCCTGCAACTGCCACCTTTATTCTTGTTATTCTTTTACTACTAGAAATCTGCAATTAATTACAATATTTCTGAGGAAAACCCTATGCTAACCTTCTTATAAATGCATAAATATATATTTTTAAGTACATTTCGATAATTAATTGTCAAAATAATATTTATGTCACTCCAAATTGAAAATCAGCCATTTCCAAGAAATCCTAAAAAAAATGTCCGTGTGCCCTGACGGTACTTATAAGTCCACTTGTAAACATCAATCTATTACAAAGACAATTTGATGAAAATTGTATAACTAGAAGTGAAATGTATTTGCCTGACTATTGAAGATGCCAATAAAAAATATTCGGTGTTGAAAACGTGAAGAATAAGGTAAAACAAAGGGAAATCAGGAACACATGTGAGATATGTACAGAACAATTGTGAACTACCAATACAGGTAGAGATTGAAAATGGCGCCACACCCGTAATTTTCAAAAAACATTGTTCCCTCCACCTACCTGTGACTCAAGGGAGATAATACTATCAATTACATCAATAATTTTTAAAATTCGTCTTAAATTAAAAATAATACAGGCGCTTAATTAAAGTGGTACTTATAAGTACCGTCAGTAGATAAAGGGTTAATATATAATAATAGTAATCATAACTTTATTAACTTAAGATGCCAATTACTAAGATCAAATTAGATCTAGATCTAGTAGTAGCAAGATTAAGTGTAAGAAGTCCACAAAAGAGAATGAGTCACTCTGGAGTACTTGAATAAAAAGACAGTTGAAAACACAATAGGCCTAAATATTCATATTTTTAAAATTATTTTTTGCAGGTACCCGCATATGCTGGTAACTATAATAACAGTACTCAGTGACATTTGAAACATCCATGATTTAATAATGGTAAGCCATTGTTGAGGAGAGAATTTTATATATTTTTAATATATATAATATATATATATATAAATACAGACATACATATATAGTATTATATAGGCCTATATATATATATATATATATATATATATATATATATATATATATATATATATATATATATAAATATATATATATATATATATGTATATATATATATATATATATATATATATATATGGATAGTGCCTCTACTATGGAGTTCTCGCCACTGTACACACGAAGGCTGTCTGGCAGCTACAGCAGCCGCAACAGTTTTGTTGACGATGCTCTGGAGCAGCTAGAGTTTAACATCAATGACATCAGTAGAGCATCAAGTCCTGCCAGTGTCATCAGTGTCAGTGCTCGCTCTGAAGGTGAGTTGTTTGACAGCTCTTGTTGACGTGGTTTCAGTTGTTTGACAGCTCTTGTTGAGGTGGTTTCAGCTATAACTAAATTTGCTGAGGTTGTTCAGCTGTCTGAAAGCCTTTGCTGCGGTTATTTACAAATTTAATCATGTAATTACAGTAGACATATTTGAAAGGTTTTCTATGCTTGATTAGCATTGCATGTCAACAATAATAAATCTTTTTGTTTCACATTGTACTGAATTTATTATTAATAAATAATCCAGTACAACCACCATATAATACAAACACATGTAATTAATTGTAAATAGAAAATATGCTTTCCAACTTAATTTAACAACTTCTTGAAAATATTGTATACATCTTTAAATCTAGCATGATATAATAAGTCTTGTGGTAACATAAAAAAATGCCTATATACTCCAAAAACCAGAATGTATATACATAACACTCAATCAGCATCTGGTGTCACCTGATCTGTTGTTTCTTAAACCATACTACATAAACATTTAACTAAACTATAGTTATGTGTACTGATGTATGCATGTTTGCTCTACATTTAGGTTTCAGAGAGCGCAGACACCGCAGTACAGGCCGAGCGGATGATGAGTACAGGAGAAAATACTCGAGGATAAAAAGCGAGCTCGAGCTAGAGAAGAATAAGATTCGTCACCTGCAGGAGGAGAGGGTGGAAGAGATCAGAAAACTGAGGGAGGCTTTTGAGAATGACAGGAAGCTGGAGATGGTCTCGTTACAGAACCGATGGGAGGAAGATAGGAAAAAAGAGGTTGGTGTTTTGGTTGTGGTTACTGTACTTTTTTCATGTTAGGTTGTAGATTGTTTTATTAGTAAAACTTGTTTTAGAATAGGGCCATAAATGTGAATACATTTAAAGTACGTTGCTCTGTTTTCAGATCAGGCAGATCATAGGTTATCACTTTTAATATTCCTCAGCATAAGATCCCTACCTTTTAAAAATATTTCTGATATTTACGTGAGACAGCTGTCCTCTATTTAAACTGAAACCAGTGTTAATGCACTGTAAAAATTGTCATAGAAATTATGAAAGAAGGAAAAGTTTACTGTAAGCAAGAAATGACATATCTAAAAATTACACACTAGATTCAAGTAATGTAAATTTGCCAATGTTTAAGATTAAGTCCAGCCAATTTACGTGAGTGATGCCATGGTCTAGTGGTAGAGCACATGGCTGCTAGCCTGAAGGTCTCAGGTTCAGGTCTCAATCCAGACGTATGATTTTAGGATGTCCTTGTCTACTCAGCTCTGATGGGTACTCACGTTACCTGACCTCACCATCCCTTCATATACAGAGGTCAAGAAAATTGTGACCTCAACTTCATCTTCCTTTTGATCATTAGGTCTGAAAGGGAAACATTACCAGCCAGTTTGTACACATGTATTTCTATTTTACATTTTCAGTTGGCCAGATTTAAGGAAGAACTTATCAAGCAGAAAGACTTTGAGCTACAGCAGGTTCTCATGTACAAGGAAAGTGAGAAAAGGCAACAGGTCAAAGCAGAGGAGAAAAAGGAGAAAGGAAAACAGAAAGTAGATGAGGAAAAACTGGAAGTAGAAGATGAGGATGAGTCCATTGCCGGGAGGGATGGGGATAATGATGTGGCAACTGTGAGTGGAAAGGGACAGGGGAGAGAGGGAGGCAAAGAGGAGAGGAGGAGGCAGAGGATGGATAAAAAACATGCAGATGATGATCTTAAGCATTTAGATCTTGTGAGTAAAGATGGAGGGTCTTCTCAAGATCACAAAAGATCAAGATCGCACAGGACAGTGAGTGGAAGTGAGGGAGACAGAGACACTGTACATAGAAGAAGGCATAGAGCTCATGAGAAAAGTGAAAAACACATCAGTGATACACCTGAGCCAGTTATTCTTAAAAGTTCTGAACATGAACAGGTCAGAAACAGGAAAAATGACAAACACATCAGTGATGCACTTGAGCCAGTTATTCTTGAAAGTTCTGAACATGAACAGGTCAAAAACAGAAAAAATGACAAACACATCAGTGATGCACTTGAGCCAGTTATTCTTGAAAGTTCTGAACATGAACAGGTCAAAAACAGAAAAAATGACAAACACATCAGTGATGCACTTGAGCCAGTTATTCTTGAAAGTTCTGAACATGAACAGGTCAAAAACAGAAAAAATGACAAACACATCAGTGATGCACTTGAGCCAGTTATTCTTGAAAGTTCTGAACATGAACAGGTCAAAAACAGAAAAAATGACAAACACATCAGTGATGTCGTCGTGTCAGGTGTGCTAGAAAATCCTGAAAGTGAACGTGTCAAAAACAAGACAGTGAAAGATACAACCTCAACACAGGATGCTGTCGCTAGTGCTTCTAAATTATTGTCTGAGAAAGTTATTTCTAAAGTAAGTGTGGATGTCCAGACTGACCTGTTAGGGACAGATATAGCAGGGAATGATGAAAGTAAAGTGGATAAAGAAAATGAAAAAACATCCGAACTGGAGAAAAGGATTAAAGATTTGGAGGTTGAAAGGTCAGCTCTACAGAAACAAGCGTCAGACATTCAAAGAAATTTGGAAATTAAAACCAAAGAATATAAAATACGTGAGGATGAGTTTATGAACATTAAGTCTAGATATGAGAAAGAGTTTCGCACGGTCATTGATGAGCATAAGAAGGTAATTTCTTGTTTTTTTTTTATGTTGATTTGATTGTCATAAATTAAAATTTTAATGTGCTTGCTGAAAAATTTGCAAGTGCTGTGCTTTTTTACTCATCTACAGTAAACCATGCACAAAGATAGGGGGGTCAACATGTGGCAGTATCTAATAAACACTATTTAACTACAAACTTTTGTAGTAAGTTTGTGGGTAGGGTCATTGCTAGAGACAATAGTCCATTGGTAGATAAGATGTAGCTAACTAGCAAGTGTTCAGTTTGGTTCTGTCACATGGGTCAGTTGAGCATCCTGGGATTTTCTAGAGAAATCAAAAATAGCTTAACATTGTTGTACTGACCACACAGTATGTTATGTAAGGCAGGACAACTTCACTTTTATGTTTTTTCATGGGACTCCATGGCCTAGCGATAGAGCGCTAGACTGCTAACCTGGAATTCTCGAGTTCAAATCTGGGTTCAAGTAAGTAGAACATCCAGCTCTGATAGGTACCTAACTTAGGTTAGGGAAAGTAAGCAGCTGGCCATAGTGCTAATCACATTATCCTTTCATATGAAGAGGTCAAGAAACATGAACTCTACTTCATCTGCCCAATGGATCGCTAGGTCTAAAGATGAATCTTTTATGTTTTTACTTTGGGATGTAGATTGGAGCTTTGGCCTTGATATTTGTTCTGGGTACTATTAAAAAGATGTAATTTCCAGAGCAGGTTGACAAAAAAGTTAGAAGAAAACAACCATTAATGATAACTACAAAAAATAAGTAGTTGAAATAAGTTCAAGAAAATGGAAACGGTTTAACATTTTATTTAAAATAAAAACAACGCAGGTACATGAAAGTAAAATTTGGTGTGGTGCTGAAGTTAAAGCTGATTTTCTAACTTCAGGTAGCTCTGGTGAACCTGGAGAAGCTGAAGCAAGCGGAGACAGCATTAAAGGAATCCACCATGTCTGATGAGGATATGGCGGCTCTGATATCTTTCAGGCAGGATCAGCAGCAGAGGAGGTTGTCTAGTGGGTCCATTGGCAGTCTGCAGGACGAGGTGAGTTGACATCTCACATGGTGTGTGGGGTCACATCTCACACATTTTGTGGGGTCACAATCTCACACATTGTATTGGGTCACATGTCACATGGTGTGTGGGGTCACATTTCATGTGGTGTGTGGGGTCACATGTCGCTTAGTGTGTGGGATCACATCTCACACATTGTGTGGGGTCAAATGGTGTGTGGGGTAACATCTAACAAGGTGTGGGGTCACCATCTCACATGGTGTGTGGGGTCACCATCTCACATGGTGTGTGGGGTCACCATCTCACATGGTGTGTGGGGTCACCATCTCACATGGTGTGTGGGGTTACATCTCACATGGTGTGTGGGGTCACATCTCACATGGTGTGTGGGGTCACATCTCACATGGTGTGTGGGGTCACATCTCACATGGTGTGTGGGGTTACATCTCACATGGTGTATGGGGTCACCATCTCACATGGTGTGTGGGGTTATATGGTGTTGGGGTCACATCTTACATGGTATGTGGGTCACATGTCACATGGTGTGTGTGGGTCAAATCTAACATGGTGTGTGGGGCACCATCTCATATGATGTGTGGGGTCACATGGTGTGTGGGGTTACATCTCACATGGTGTGTGGGGTTACATCTCACATGGTGTGTGGGGTTACATCACATTGTGTGTGGGGTCACATCTCACATGGTGTGTGGGGTTACATCTCACATGGTGTGTGGGGTTACATCTCACATGGTGTGTGGGGTCACCATCTCACATGGTGTGGCATCACATCTCTGGGAAGTAAGGGTTAATGCATGATGTGACTGTAAAGATGGGCTTGGTAGATGGTTAGAGCAAAGTTTAACACACCACTATTACAACACATTGGGCATCAAAAAATATTTAGTTACTTTCTCCCATGCTACATCCTGTCATTTCCTTATATACAGTGTTTCTTATGTACAGCATGTTTTTTATATACAACCTGTTTCCTTATATAAACAGCCTTTTCCTTATATACAGCCTGTTCTCTTATATACAGCCCGTATCACAACATTAACATCAAATCAATCTGAACTGGATTTCACCACTGAACACATAATCTCACCATACAATATTTACCTTACACACCAATTACAGTATAAACTTTCAGTTACACACAATTCACATACACACAATCGATATCACCACAATAAGCATTGGGTCACAGGATATATTCAAAAGTTATGATGATCTGCCCTATGACTTGTGGTTAACTTATTGACATACCAGAGGGCCAGTTCATGGTTTAATGCTGAATGTGTGCCTACAGTTTTGTTATCAAACTGATCATAGGGGTCGTCCATAAATGACTTCACACTCGTAGGGGGGAGAGGGGGTCCATAAATTTGTGACGGTGTGTGATGAGGGGGAGGGGGGGTCAGATGGTGTGACGTCACTTTTTTGCATTATAAAAAAGCAAAGTTAGAAAACTATTTTTAGCCGTTATTTCGTGTTTTAGAAAACGGTTTTAATAAATTGTAATATAAATTGATCAAAATACTCTATGTTGACAGAGTTCTGACAAGATTTCGGAAAAATATCGATTTAAGAAAAATTCAACTGCAATTTTGAGGGGGGGGGGGGTTGTAGGCTGAGGTGTGACGTCATGTTAGGGGGGGTCTGGCTTTTTGTGGCGACGTGTGACGGAGGAGAGGGGGGGGGGAGGTAAAAATCGTCAAAAAAAAAGCGTGACGTCATTTATGGATGACCCCATACTGACTTTGTAAAAAAAAGTTGGCTAAAATTGTATAACATTGTTAACATTTGCCAAACGTTTTTGTTTCAAGATCGAAAAATAAATAGTAAACAAACATTTCCAAAGAACTGCTAACATCAAAACTGTCCAATAAAAAGTCAAATGTTTTCTGCTTCAAGTTACACACGTTGAAGTGAAACATTATTTTAAAGGCTTGCACAACATCAAAGTTGGTGTAGTGTTTGAAGACAACACAAGCAAATATTAATATTAAGCTTAGCTTTAGAAACAAATCTCTTCTTGCTGACCGAGGTTCCATGTTGTATGGGTTTTGCTGACCAAGGTTTTCTGACCATGGTTCTCACTTGTAAGGTTTTTGCTGCTCAACTTTTCTTTACACTTTGTCCACATGTCCACGACAGGATAATATCTGGTTGCACATCCCCCCCCTCCCCTAATCCTAGATACAACGATGTCACGATGGGACTTGAGTTTTCTCACTCAAACTTGAAACACTGGCCTGGTTTGTATGACATCACCCCCACCCCCTCCCCCCACCTTTACCTGTTGACCACACGTCTTGTGTCAGCTGTAATGTTGGAATGGGAGGATAACATTTCTATGATCGCTGGAAGTTTATCATTCTTTTCCTGGGAAATTAAAAAAAAAAGTGTTATGTGTGTTATTTGTTCACAGGTAAAACATAAATCGTATTGATCAGTGGTCATGCTTATTTTTTGTTGTTGTCATTATTACAATGTCGCCGAGAAAGTAGACTTGCTGTTGATAATTTGTGGGAAAATATCACCTTATAGACTAACTGATAGCTACTAGTGGGAAGCGTTAGTGAATTAACCAAGTGTACCGCTCTGGTATGTTAATTAAAACGTCAATCGCTTGATTGTTTATCGTAAACTCCGCTCATGGTTGTTTATCGTAAACTCCGCTCATGACTAAGTTGTTGCCTGCAATGGTGCTGACTCGGCTGACAACGGCTGATTTCTCATATCATAAATCAAGCTAATTAAGTGAAATGTTTAACTTGAAAACATTGTCTGTTGCAATTGTAGACTAATGTAGACTGTAGGCAGTCTACTCTATAACCAGTGATGATTTAAAAAACCCAAACTCAGAAAGAGCTTGCAAATTCGGGGCTGAGGGAGGGGGGTGCTCTTGAAATTTTCGGGAAGGAGGGGCTTGAAAGTGGTCAAAGTATACATTTTGTATGTAAATTATATATATATATTTATTTCGCTCCTGGGGGAGGGGCGGTGTTCATGCTTCGTGAGGGTGGGGGTGCTCTTGAAATTTTCGGAAAGGAGGGGCGTGAGAAGAAAAATGGTTAAGTATATATTTTCTGGGGGTGGAAGGCGGTGGACATGTTTCATGGGGGTGGGGGTTACTGATTACAGCATGTCTTTAAGCGGTTAACCCTAATTAGATTCAGCTAAGCCACACGGGGACAGCGGATAGAGTCGAGCCGAGAGTGTTGGGTTTCGCTGTTCAGCCGTCACCAGTGTTGCAGGGGTCGTAAACCAGAGCTAGGTCCCGCTTGACTCCCGAGGTGACGCCATTGTTTAAGGCTGGGTTTAGCCGAGGTTTCACACCAGACCCTCAGACAAACATGCATGGATTTGGTCAGGCTGTCCTCGCCTGTAAACACGATTTATCATTAAGCTAGGATTAGGGGGGGGGGGGGGGGTGTCTGTGAGGGTAGGTGTCTGTGAGGGTGGGTATCTATGAGGGTGGGTGTCTGTGTCTTTAAAAGCAGTGGGCTGCGATACATGGGGATCTGTGTATCATCCTGCATTTGTGTTTGCGCGTTGCAGATTTGTCTACAGCTTTACTGCTTTAAGACGGTGGATACATTTCCGTTTTCACCTGCACGAAAATCTGTGTACGTACCAGCTGGATAGGTGTGTGTGATTTCCTTTGGATTTGGATTACTTCTATCTTCGTCTAGCTATCGGTGGATAATCTATTTGAGGTTTTATCATCGTATGCAACGTTTCACATTTGAACTTTGTTATCAGTAAAATAAAAAACTCTTGGAGATTGGTTTAGGCTATTAGCAGTTGGTACTTATGAAGCCTTTAAGTTGATGCCGATACAAATGTTGTCTTGATGTTGATGCTGATTGTTTTGGTATCCATGCTAACAACGTCTTAGCATTAG